TAAGTTTTGGGTGACATACTCTTTGTCTCTTTATACAACAATAATTTAGTAATTTTTCCAAAATATAAATTCATTTTCACTGTATATTTATTGTGTGACATCACAATCTGGCCATTCTTATTTCCAGTAGACACAGTGGTTGCTTCCAGCCTTTTGCTGCTATGAACAATCTTGCTATGGGCATCATTTCCTGTGCTTGCTTTTGTCCCATGAGAACCCACCCCACCCTGAGGTGAGTGGGCTCAGGGACCTGACCTCACTGGGGGAGTGAGGGCGCCCAGTGGCGGCCAGTGCTTCCGCTGGGCCTGTCGGGGGTCCTCAGTCTTCCTCCCTCCATGCTCAGAGAGGCTCTGCCTCGCCCAGGGCAGCCCTCCTCCTAGGGCTCTGCCTACAGGAGGCAGGTAGAGGCTGGGTCTCTTTGGTGTCAATGGAGATCCCAGATGGAGGACAGGCCGTGGGAGGGGCCTCAGCATTTGGACTTTTTTTTTTTTTACATTTTAAATTTGTTTATTGATTATGGTATCACATAATTGTCCTCATCCAACCATTCTCTTCCCAAACCCCTCCCCACACATGCCTCCACCCCCCCCCCCCCCTGTTGTCCGTGACCACTGGTTAGGCTCATATGCATGCATACAAGTCCTTTGGTTGATCTCTCCCCATTACCCCCACCCTCCCTTCCTTCTGAGGTTTGACAGTCTGATCAATGCTTCCCTGTTACCCGGTCTGTTTTTGTTCTTCAGTTTATGTTATTCATTATTTCCCCTAGATGCTTGACAGATAACCCGACTGAAGAGGAACCAGGACAAGGGCACCACCTTCTCCCTCGCCTCACTTTATTTGAAGTATTTTAGGTTGAGGAAGAAGGCCACGGATATGGAGGACAAGTTTCTCTTTACTCATCAAGGTTAGTTTTGATTTGGTTTGTGTTTAGTCGGCCGTACCTTTCTCTTTCGGTTGAAGTCATTTTTCCTCCCTTTGTTACTACTACCCATTCTTTTATTTAGGTATTTTTGTAGCTATTTCACAACTTAGGTTTACATCTGTATATTTATAATCCTTCAGTTACTGTTGACTCTACTAGAAATGGATTTTTCTCTCAAATGTTATCACTAACTACTTTCCATGAATAATTTACTCAGATAATTATGTTCTGATGCTGATTCCTGAACAAGGTTCTGGGATTTATTTGTATTCCTCTTGAATATTCCATAATGCCCAGGACTGTGGTAGCCACATTGTAGACTTAAAAGCTTGATAACCTATTTTTTTTTTTCTTTCAGTATCTTCTTCTCATTCCTGCCATCTCCACCCAAGCATGCCTCATCTCTTCTCCTAGATCTTGCACTGCCATCCTAACTGGCAACTGGTTTCTCTCCATTATAGTCAATAAGCCCCCTCTCCCCTGAAACTCCCAAGTCTCGTCCTTAGTATCATTCACACATGTCAAGACTTGGAAATCCAAACTCTGCATGTCCATCCTTTGTAACCCACCCACGTCTTCAATCCTCCTTATGTTCTTATCAAAAACAACATCATATAGTGAAAAGACACATTTTTTAACAGTCATATTATGAAAAATAAACATACAGAAATAGCATCAAACATCTAGTATTTTAATTTCCAAATGTCTCCTGAATATTTTTGTTTAGTTTGTTTGAAATGATCCACATAAGCTCCACACATTATAATTGGTTAATGTATCATTTATTTTGAGTTTTTTAAAAAATATATATTTTATTGATTTTTTTTTTTACAGAGAGGAAGGAAAAGGGACAGAGTTAGAAACATCGATGAGAGAGAGACATCCATCAGCTGCCTCCTGCACACCCCCCTGCTGGGGACAAGCCTGAAACCAATGTACATGCCTTGACTGGAATCAAATCTGGGACCCTTTGGTCTGCAGGCTGACACTCTATCCACCGAGCCAAACCAGCTAGGGTTAAAAACTTACTCTTATCTACCTGTGTACAATGTACTTTTTTGCTAAATTGGGCTATTCTCAAGCTAATCACTAAGATAGCACTAGCTCAATGTAATCAGTGTAATAGGTGCCTATATTATTGTTACAATACATACATTCTCCAAAAGAACTTCTGGTTTAGACATGTAGGGGGCAGAAGGCTGACTGGTTTCTCTTCTTTCAACTTCTTTCCCAGCATCAGGTTTGTTTCTTTAGTAATTAGGCTATCTCAATTCTTTCATTGTGTGTTGGACACACAACACACAAACATTCTTAATGTCAACTTCTAAACTCTGTTTTAATACAGAAACTGTGGATTAAACATGTCTCGGGTGTTCCACTGGAGATCAAGTTCGCAACCCAAGCATGTGACCTTGACTGGAATCGAACCTAGGACTCTTCAGTCCGCAGGCCAACGCTCTATCCACTGAGCCAAACCAGCTAGGCCCGTCTATTTTAAGGATAGTTGTATGTAGGGAAGAAACCTGAATGTTTCTAATTAGCTTTCAATCCAATACCAAAACAATAAAATCAGTAACTTACTGAGTTTGGGGGGAAAAACAAACAAAAAAACCCCCACTCATTTCATATGTAAATGTTGCTAATGGATTTTGCACATTAAAGGCGAATAAATGTTTTTCTCTTTTGCCTGATATACTACATAGAGAAGTTTCTTGGGAAACTATCAGCGTGGAGATTCCTAAATGATGGTTTTGCTGCTCTGTATGCTGCTAGCAGCTCTACCAGTAATGTTTTGTCTCAGAGGTACAGCTTCTGCTCCAGTCTTCAAGGAAACATTTAATGTATTATAATTGTCTTTTATTTTCTTTTGACTCTTAAAAAAATAGCTATCCTTCAGAAGAGACCTTTACATCATTTAAAATAATACTTTGGGATTGTGGGGGATGATGATTAATAAATTTAGTGGCTTTTAACAATATAAGACATGTGCACATTTTACTATTTATGTCGGAAATCAAGTCCAAGAATAGAAATTCCCTAACTAAATGATATAATCATCCAAAAGAAAAAAACACAACCAAAAATTAAAACAAAAATGAATCCAAGATCAGTATGCATTCTTTTGTAGCAGATGCTCTGTAATTAAAACTTCCCTCTTTTTCTTGGGGAAAAGGGAAAGAACATCTAATTTATTGAGCTTATGACAATACTTTTCAACAGTATTTGATCTGAATGCTTAAAAATTGCCAGTAGCTTTAACAACAGAAACTCTTAAAATCTTTAAAAAGTAACCTGAGCACTGATGACAAATGGGGGCTCAAAACAATTTTGGAGAAAAATGAGGTCACTTAATACATTTGGTGAAAAAGTAAGATTTCTGAAATGCTTTGCATGTATTGAATTATGAAACAATGTATTAAAATTTTTTATTTTATTTAGTTGACATTCAACTTTGAGTTATACTTCACCCTTTACTCCAAGAGACTTTTCATGACTGATTTATCATAAACTACAAAAAATTTTATTTTCATGCTATTTAATTATTTGGGCTAGAGTTGACTTATTTGAATCATTATACTAATTTTTAAAAAATGTAGTTACAGTAAATATGACTAATTCAACAAAAGGAAACAGCATATTTTTTTTTTATTATTATTAGCTACAAATTGTTACCAAGTACAGACATGAATTTCTTAAATAGCCTTTGAGCCCAACCCGGTTTGGCTCAGTGGATAGAGCATCGGCCTGGAGACTCAAGGGTCCCAGGTTCAATTCAGTCAAGGGCATGTACCTTGGTTGCGGACACATCCCCAGTGGGAGGGTGTGCAGGAGGCAGCTGATCAATGCTTTTCTCTCATTGATGTTTCTAACTCTCTATCCCTCTCTGTAAAAAATCAGTAAGATACATATTTTTTTTAAAAAGAAGGTAAACAAATCCAAATAGAAATGGCAGCAGCTATGGAGCTGGAAAAAGCAGGAAACTAGGGTTGTTCCTGGCAATGGAGGAAGCCAAGCTTTCCTCACACCCTGGCTGGCCCAGGACTCCACTCCAGGCTACAAAGTTTCAATTATAGAAGATACATAAATTCTAACAGAAATGGCTACCAGCCATGGAGCAAGCAGGAGGCTTGGCTCTGTTCCAGGCTACAAAGTTTCAGTTGTACGAGGTAAATAAATTCCAGATACCAGAGCTTCCGCTTGGGTTGCCAGGGGGCGTGGCTGGCCTGCAAACCACCACAGGCCCCTCACTCAGGCCGTCCCATACCCCAAGGGAATCCCCACTCTGATCCAGGACACCCTTCAGTGCAAACCAGCTGGCCCCCACCTCTGCACCAGGTCTCTGTCTAATAAGAGTAATATGCAGATTATTACTCCAACACACAAGATGGCTGTCCCCATGTGGTCAAAGATCCTGCCCCTATGTGGACACAAGATGGCCACACAAGCTGGCCAAAAGGGGAGGGCAGTTGGGAGGCACCAAACCTGCAAGGGAGTGCAATTGGAGGCAATCAACTCTGCAGGGGAGGGCAATTGGGGTAACTAGGCAGCAGAGGAGGGAAGTTGGGTGCAAACAGGCTGGCAGGTGAGCAGTTAGGTATCAGTCAGGCTGGCAGAGGAGTGGTGAGGGGATGATCAGGCTGGCAGGCAGAAGTGGTTAGGGGCAATCAGGAAGGCAGGAAGGTGAGCAGTTGGAAGCCAGCAGTCCTGGATTGTGAAAGGGTACAGGGTGGGCTAAGTTACACTGCCCCCCCCCATTCCCGTACATGAATTTCATGCACCGGGCCTCTAGTAGAAATATAAAAGTTAATTACACATATACTAATATAAATTCAGTATATACAAGTGTGTACATATTTATTTCCAAAGAGTATTTCCCACAGAAAGATTTTCAAAATAGAAAGTAAACGTAAGTATTCTGTGGAACTATATTAAGGATTCACAGATTTTGGGGAAAAACTCTTTATAGACTAGAATATATATATATATATATATATTCATTCGGGCAAAAGTAAACATTATAAAAAGTATAAAAATAGACAAAAAGATACAAACACAATATAGTTTGGTTGGAATTTCAGAGATGTTTTTTTTTCTTCTCTTTTCCCTTTACTTCAAAAGTTAAAAATACTTTTGAAGCAGCATGTATTGTTGCACTTTTGATTTTTTGTTGTACAGTTAATGAACTTGAGAGTGTGGATGACTGGTGATCATCTATTTGGCCTTCCCATTCTTTTGTTTCTTCTTCTTTGATTAATAATGGTTTTCCTAGAGTTTGGCCAACAAGGTTACAGACTTCTTGAGCTTTGCGCCATGCATTCTCAACAGCAACAAGACAGGCTTGCCGTCTTAGGAATGAAATGCAGAGGTTATTAATATGACATTCAATGAACTGTAACAATGAAGAGTTTTAATTAATTGAGAATTTAAAGATGTGCTGAACTTACCGAAGATTTTCAACAGAACCTGGAGTATGATAGAACTGGGGTTGGCTGATAACAACAGAACTATCTAGTTTTTCAACAAGAAAGTTACAAATATTTTGCATTTTTCCAAATTCAGTAAATGTAATGCAGACCTGCAAATGAAATGACACTTGAAGTTATTTTCATGCCTAAGTAAATCCATATTACACTGAGATCATTTTATAGCATGTAACAGATATAAAAAGCCTCGCCGATACTTGTAACTAAATTATTTTGTTATTAAATTTATTTTTGCTTATGAATTTTATTTAGTATTAACTTGAATATTTAAAACTACATTTTAAATCAGTCAGGGACTTTCTTATGAGAGATAATTGGAGGCTTTCCCCCTTTAATTTTATTATTTGGCTGAATTTTAACTCTGATAAATTTTTCATGACTCCTGAGTCGAATCTATGCCATTAACTTCCCGATTAGCAGTAATTACATCATAGTTCACTTCACTGCTATAAGTGAGGTATGTTTCTTCTAGTTGTTATTTTCAGATTTATATGTGGAAATATCTATTTTTTAAAATATATATATATTTTTTATTGATTTTTTACAGAAAGGAAGAGAAAGGGACAGAAGTTAGAAACATCGATGAGAGAGAGACATCAATCAGCTGCCTCCTACACACCCCCCACTGGGGATGTGCCTGAAACCAAGCCCTTGACCGGAATCGAACCCGGGACCTTACAGTCCACAGGCTGATGCTCTATCCACTGAGCCAAACCGGTTTCGGCGAAACATCTATTTCATTATGTCCTCTTTCTTTAAATATGTGGGAGAATCCTTATATTCAACAAGACTTAAAACTGTAGTCTTAAAAACCTTTTTAAGAAAGCAGACTAAACCTTTCTTTTAAGGAAAGTTTACAAAAGCTTAATAAGTAAAACAGAAAAGTACAGATACTGGAGAGTAAGCAGGAGTAGCAGAGAGAGGGGGTAACCTGACCTTCCGAGTCATCTTACACAATGCAGAACAGTTGCCTTTATCATAAATGCTATTCAGTGAAGACTATGTTCTGTCTGATTTAAATTCTTAGTAAATAAGGTATTTTATAATCATTTTGTCAACTTCTATTATTTTAAAAAGCTTACTGGGATTTTGGTTGGGATTATACTGAATCTATATATATTTTATTAAGGAAGAACTGGTATCTTAATGATATTAAGACTTCCAAATTACTTACAAGGTATATTTCTCCATTAATTAGGTCTTTTTTAATTTCTTGTAGCAATAATTTATAATTTATAGTTATAGCTCTTTCACATTTTTTAAATTAGACTCACCCCTAGGCATTTTATATTTTTGCTGCTTATCAATTCTAACAGCTCTTTTGTAGGTTCCATCAGATTTTCTACATAGATGGTCATGTTATCCATGAATAAAGAAAATTTCACTTCTCACTTTCCATTCTGGATGCCTTTTATTTCTTTTTCTTGCCTAACTGCATTAGCTAGAAAATTTCAAGTACCGGTATAATGTTGAATAGAAGTCATGACAGTAGGTATGTTTTTCTTGTTCCTGATTTGGGCACAAGTATTTAGTGTTTTTTCACCATTAAATATGATATCAGCTGTAGATTTTTTTTTTTTTATCAGTTTGAAGAAGTTCCCTACTATTCTAGCTTGCTGAGAATTTTTATGAGGAATAGATGTTGGATTTTTGTTAAATGGTCATATGATGTTCCTTTTTTATTTTATTAATGTAGTGAATTAGATTGGCCTGTACTAGTTGTATTAAAGTACAAAACCCATTGAGATTATCATATAAATGCTTCATATCTCTGGTCAAGAAGAATCCCCATTAGTTTAGCATTTCAGTAATGAAGAAACTTAATTCCAAAATAGGGGAGATTTTAAGTGCTTTTAATAAATTCATCTTCTGGATAAATCAAATTTCGGCTATTGAAATGTTCTGCATATAAGACTTCTGAATTATAATTGCTAACCTAAATTACCACAAAGTACAGGCCAAGATCCTCCCTAAAAATATGGGCAGTTCTAATTTCCAAAGAAAGGAGGGCAGATAAAACTGAACAAACAGTCTAGTGGGCAAGATTCTAGAACAGATATTTTAAAATTTAATTTATAAGAAATAAGAAAAGGGGAAAAAAAGATTTCTATCAAAGGAAAGAAAATAGGGCCTTTGGTTCATTTTGATCCTTGCTATAGGCCTCAGCACTTTGCATATTTTCTTTTCTTTTTGGTACTGCCATAACCTATTTTTGTCTTCCCCCTCAAGTCTCCCTGGTTTCCTTTTTCCTGTCTCTGAAGAAATGCATACAGGGCTTCCTCCAGATAGGCCTTTGGGAATCCTATACAATATGAGGCTAATATTCAAATTGACCAAATATGTAACGACCAGTTGCTATGACACGCACTGACCACGAGGGGGAATGCAGGAGCTGCCCCCTGGTGGTCAGTGCACTCCCACAGGACATGTCACTGTCAGTCGGACATCCCCTGAGGGCTCCCAGACTGTGAGAGGGTACAGGCTGGGCTGAGGAACCCCTGTCCCTCTGCCCCGAGTGAACGAATTTTATGCACTGGGCCTGTAGTAACAAAATAAAGACATAAGAATTTAAGACTGAAATCTTGCAAGGTTCTTAGAATTATACATTCAGACTCTAATTACTGAGTTTCTTGCTGATATACTAAGTAGAAAACTCATGTGACTTCTAACTTTGCTTTGACTCCTGAAAGTGAAATTCACCAACTCTATACTATTCTCTTAATCTCTACCTTCTAAATCACTGCCAAATTATTTCTGTCCAAAGGCCAACAAATTGAACATGTAAATTTGAAATTAAGAACAAATGAAGATGTACTAAATTTGACTTCCTAGTTGGTAAATTACCAGAGAAATACCATAACCATAGGGGGTTTTCATTTTTCCTATATATTCATATAAGCCATAGGATATACTGACATACACTCTTCATGGCGACATTGTTGCTTACGGTCATAGTTGATTAATGCTACTCAGTATTTTAATTAATTACATAGATGGAACACTGATGATCAAATCAGCACCTGAAATAAAGCTGGTAGTACTAAAAATAAAAACCACTTGATAAAATTGAGATTTAAAAATGATCCCAATAGGCTGGAAATATAGATCAAATCTGGTAGATAAAATCATCCAAAGATAAATGTAAAATCCTGTAATTCATTTTAAAACAGGAATAACAAAGTGTAAGATAAGGAGAAACATGATTTAAAAGCAGCATTTGAGAAAGACACTTTTTTTTTTTAGCTGTAATAGTAAACTAAAGAAAAACTTTCTACACAAGAAATGGCCAAAGAAACGGGGGATCTTATCACTAGAGAAGAAAAAAGTATCAATATGATACTGCACTGCAAGTGTGTACTTCAAGAAAAAAGAATTAGCTTTGTTTTGTTTTTGGAGAGGTATACTACTAATAAAAGATGGGTACTAATGAGTCAAGTCTGGTTTAATGTCAGAAAATGTTACATTTATTATTTTTTAAAATTAATTTCTTTATTGATTAAAGTATCACATATTTGTCCTCAACCCCCCATTTCAATCTCCCCCTGACTCAGGCCCCCACTCCCCTATTGTCCTTGCCCACTGGTTAGGCTCATATGTGTGCACGTAAGTCCTTTGGTTGATCTCTCCCTTTTATCCCCACCCTCCCTCTGAGGTCCAACAGTCTGACCCATGGTTCCTTATCTCATTACATAAAAGCTCACACATAAGTAACACCAAAAATGATTTTGAGAAAAATAACCTTTTATCAATACTATGAGAAACATTTCTCCTGTACATTTCAGTTCAAGAACAAAAATAAATGCAAATTATTCGCACAAAGTCATGTTGTTTTCAATTATTTATAAGTTCATACCTCTGCTTCCATGTGATAAGCATTTTCCACTCTTCTAAAATCCTTTGTCACAGTTACATTTTCTGCCTGAAACAGAAAGTACAAGGGTATGATTGCTAAATGTCTGGCAACAAAATGGAATTACTCTAAATGAATGTTAAATTTATTTAATTTACAGCCTGGTCAGTGTGGTTCAGTGGTTGGGCGTTGACTTATGAACCAGAAGGCCACAATTCAATTCACGTTCAGGGCATATGCCTGGGTTGCCGGCTCATTCCCCAGTGTGGGGTATGTGGCAGGCAGCCAATCAATGATTCTCATCATTGATGTCTCTACCTCTCTCTCCCTCTCCCTTCCTCTCTGAAATCAGTAAAAAACTATTTTAAAAAAATGTTTAATTTACAAATAATTTAATACAAATGTACTGAATATAGTATGCAACTTTGGGCAAATTACTCAACTTTTTTGAGCCTTAGTTTCTGCATTTATAAAATTAGGTTAATACCAACTATATATTACACAGAATTGTTTTGAGGGTTTAATGACAAGTTTTATCACAGCGCTTGACACAGACAATACTAAGCACATGTAGATGCCTTGCTATTTTAATATGAAAGTTTTCTAAAATATTGGACCCAGACCAGTTTTTGAAAATATCAATGCTTTATGAACCTCTGCATAAATTACAGGTACACAATTTTGATAAAAATATTAAATTTTTAATTTACTTTTCAAAATGATTTTTAAAATTTAGTAAAATGAACTCTTTACTCACTCTCATCTTTGGGTACGGGCAGAACTTACATTTTACAAAATTTCTGTATCCTTCAAAACATATGCTAATATAAAGATTATTATGCTCAATAATGATTTAATTGTATGTTCTTTTGAAATTTCATTGATTTTTAGAGAGAAAGAAACACTGGTTTGTTGTTCCGCTTGTTTATGCATTCACTGGCTGATGCATGTGCCTGACTGGGGATCAAACTAGAAACTACAGGGATGACACTCTAGCTACTTGGCTGGGACCTAATTATATGCTCTTTTGTAGGGGACCTACCTGCATCTGAATTTTAAGATATAAACTAAGTTCAAGCAGTTTATATTATCCAGAAAAATTAGAAAAAACTTTAGCCCAAAAATCTAAAGTTCTGATTATAGCTTCATGCCTGTCACTCTCATGAAAATATTTATACGTCTTTATGATAAAGATAACTGCTGACTGTGGAAAATTTAGAATACAGGTAAATTTAAAATGAAATTGTTAGTATATTTCTTGTGAACAGCTTTATTTACTGATTAACATGAAACTTTTCTGTCATTTAATATTCGTTTATAACATAAACGTATCTTCTACCAAGACATTAAAGCAGCAATATACTCTAGTGGTTAAGAGCATTCGGTCAGAGTTCTTGGCTGAAGTCTGAACTCTGCCACTTCCTATCTGTGTGACCTTGGACGAGCTACTGCCAATGATTACTGTGATCCTGGGAGTTCTCATCTCTAAAGCAGCAACTAAACTACCAGTCTCACATGATGGGAGTATCACAGAAGATAACATTTGTAAAAGGTCTAGCAATAGTAAAAACTTTTTTTATTATCAATAATATCCAAACTCCTCAGTATTGCACACAAGGCCTTCCTTCGTGTTCTGGGTACAGCTTTCTGCTTCAGTCTTATCGCTTGATTCCCCTCCATTTTCCCTGAGTGCTCCTGCGCCCTAGCCTCAGGGGACTGTGAATAGTGTTCTGAACACATATACTTGCTGCACTCTAGTGTGAAACTGGAATGCTTTCCTGCCAGCCACTGTTTAAGATTTGACACGTGTCATTTCCATTATGAAAGCTTTCTGGAATTCCTCAAGTAAAATGAATATTGCTTTATTTTCTTACACTTCTATATTGTCTCACGCACATACTTTGATCACAACACCTACTATGTATATTCTATTCCTATCATCAGTCTCCTTCAGTACCTAAATCTTACTCATTCTCCATTTCTGGTGCCTGGCAACATGCTTAAGGCATCCATTACATGTTTATTGAAAAAAATAGGAAGAGCTGACAGCCTGTGAGAGGAACACACAAACCAGAAAACAAAAGAATTACACATTACACTAAGTGCTGTTTTAAACTGAACAGTGCTGGGGAATGCCTAGTGATGTTTGATGGCTGAACGAGTCAATACTGCTTAGAACTTCAAAATATTTCCCAAGAAAACCCTAAAAAACGAGGCTTATGCCCTCACACATGAAGCTATGTGATATAAAACTATATATGGTTTGTAATATAGTTGGAACTCATTGTTTATGCTTCTCTCATTTTTTCCTTTTATTCATTCAGAAACCACTTTCTAAGAATCCATCATGCGATATAGATGAATGCAAAGCAAACAAGAGGCAAAATGATCTCTACTGAGGTTTAGAATATGGAGGAGAGACAAGTAAAACAACACATGTAATACAGAATGATAAGTTTTATTACAAGTGGGGAGTGGAGGGTGGCATGACAGGGACTACTGTTATGTTAGGAAAATAATGCCAAGGAGGTGAACTTGGGCTAGTTCTTTGAAGAAAAAAAAAGGGGGTGGGGTGGGGGTCAGCTAGTAGTCAACCAGGAGAGAAGGATGACAGGAGATGAGAGTTAGGCTCTATCTATAAAGCAGAGGAGTTTGGAATATGAGGAACTCTCTACACAGGGGAGTGATGTTTATAAACCCAAGACCCCAAAGTTTAAAATAAACAAAGGCTTTGTGAAGACCCATTATAATTCTTCCTGCAAAGTTATATAAATTATTTTTTTGCATTACCTATCAAACAAATTACCTACATGACTGCTTTTCTCCATTAGCAGAGATAATTGGAAGATTATTGACCTTTGTATGTCTTGCCCTGAACACTGAATCTTAATGTAATCTTAACTGTAACCTGAACATAGTAATTTTTTTTTTTTTTTACATATTAGGAGTTATGGTCATGTGGGAGTAGTATACATCTTATGTAAGTAACTTAAGAATAAGTAGTAATATTCAAACAGGACTGTGGCACTGGCAGCAGTTTTTCCGGGAAAATATTTCTCTACATATTATAGTAAAAACATTTATTCACATTATTTTAATTAGCATTTGAATTCTTCTAAAGTGAAAAATCATTTAGAGACATTCTTTTACAACTTATTTAAAGAATAACTATGTCTGTAAATGCAGTACACGTTTATTTTCTCCTTAAAGACTTGATTTTTCGGATAGAACTTTCATAAACTCAGTGTTACTCTGGGTCAATCGCAATTGTGGCCTTTAGGGTCCTATTCCGTAAAACGAAAGAACTGAGAAGCTTGATCCATTCTATGGTTTCTGATTAAAAAAAAAAAAAAAAAATGCTAATTACCCGCAGCCTGTCATTGTCGGAAGCAAGCTGTGTTTTGGTTTCAGGAATACAGGAGTTCAAATATCGCCCTGGCTGACGTTCAGGACATTACTTATTGCTTAACCTCTTTAAATCTGGAAAATGAAGATATCAAAAACCTGCCTAATGAGGCGGTGGCATGGATTAAACAAGGCTGCTTCGTTTTTTCATTCTGAAGGTTAGATTTACCTAGTGATTTCGCAGACATCGGGTAAGCAGGGGTATTTTATATAGGCGGCATCTACCATATAACAGATTCATCTTTTAAAAACTTAAAACTAAAAAAGTTGGAGAACATTTCTGGGTCTTCAAGGACCCTCCTTCCTCCACCCCCATTACTGTTGGCCAAAAATAACGAGCTTTCTTTCCATGGCTGGGAGGAAGCAGGCCATGCTTTTCACTGGCCAATCCCACGGCGCAGCATCAAAACAAAAACAACAACAAAAACTATCATTGTACAGGGCACTGCCTAGGCACGCATGTACACCGAATGTTTGCAGTTTAACAGTTCATCGTTTCCAGGGTAAAAACCAAACTATGGCAGCACGTATCGCCATATAAAAAAACAAACAAACAAACAAACAAAAAAACCCTACTCAACTTGCATTATTTCACCGGCCCCGCGGCCAGTCCTTCATTCCTCCCCTCAAGAAGGGCGGCCCAGGGACTCCGTCGGCCAGGCCCGGGCCGGTCACCCCGCAGCCACCGAGACCCTCCGACGCTCAGGCCCCGCCCGCCTCCCGCCCCGCTCCGGCCGCCGCCGCCGGGGCGGACCCTCTGCCATCCATCCGCCGCCCGGCGCGGCGCGCTCACCGGCAGGCCCTGCTGCTGGAGGCTCTGCGCGATGTAGTCCAGGCGGCGGCACACGCTCTTCTTGGCCTCGGCGGCCGCCTCCTTGGTGCTGCTCACTCGCACCGCCACCTGCGCCCGGTCCGGGCCCGCAGACACCTCCGCGGCGCCGCTCACGTGCACCTCGCGGCCCGCGGTCTGGGCCTGCGCCGCCGAGGAGGAGAGCGGGCGGCGGAGGGCGGGCAGCGTCTCTCCGCCCGACACCACGTTGTTCTCCCGGCTCCGGTCCACCCAGGGGACCAGCTCCACGAACACCCGAGACTGAGAAGCTTGTGGCAACGACATAGTGATGGCGGCTGGGTTACCATAGCAACGCGGGGAGGGACGGCGGCCGAAGCGGCCAAAGCGCGGCGGGGCGTCCGCGTGCGCGCGGCGCAGAGGCTGCCGGGAAGGGCGGGGCGGGGCGGTCCGGGCGCTTGTGGAGCGCGGGAGCGGCGCTGGGTGGGGAGAGTTTGGCCACGTGCTCCTCGCATGGCGCTGGCGGGACGGCTCGCCCTCGTGTTGAACAGCTTCACCCCCCCCCATGGCCCTCGAAAGGCGTGGTCAGCCTTCTCCTCTCGGGGAGGCCCTCCTCGTTGCGCCCTCGCCCTCACCCACACCCGCCTCTCGCCCGCGGGCCTCAGAGGAAGGTGCTGAGCGACCAGCGGGCGGATGGCTTTTTCGCGTGTTTGTAACTGTCTTCACCCGCGTCTCCTCTGACCTAGCCCTTCCGCCGGGCACCCCTTCTCCGCCATGGGGCGCGGGAGGAGTCTGTGGGCATGGGTGCTCCTGGCCACTTTGATTTTGGGAGTTCGAGTCCTCCAATTCGTTTTCATTGTCTCGAAAGCCACGCGGGTAGCGCGATGCACGTTGGCCGCGCGGTGGCCTGGAGCTTGCCCGTGGGAAGCCGAGAGAAGAGAAGGGGGAGCTGATAGGAAGAGTGGCCGAAGCCTTGGCAGGATTTTCCAGTCGCTCGAACTGTCGCCAGGGACCCTGGACTTGTTCTGTCTTTAAATCCGGACTGGAGCGATGGAGGCGGTACGTTCCCCCGTGGACATGGCCGGCCTGTGCGACTTAGATTTTATTTATGTCCTTTTCTTGAGAGAACAGCACAACCCTCAACCCACTGATCACCATTAGGTAGGTTTTCTTCTTACCACTAAGTATGTAAAAACATCTAGGCCTTCTGTCCCAGGAGAAAAAAAAAAAAATTTTTTTTTTTTTAATTTTTTAAGGACAGCTCTCACAAAATGAATCTGAAAACAAGCCTACTGCCAATCCTCAAGTAGTTTCTTCTGTACTATTTTTCCCCCCTACTAAGATAATGCAGCTAAATCAAACGGTACTCTCTTCCCCTTTATTGGATTATCATTTGGTTAATTTTGTCTATATTTATTTTGATGTTGGTTGGATTCTGATGAAGGCACCTGCCAGATTGTGGGCTCGATCCTCAGTGTGGGGTGTGCAGCAGGCAGCCAATCAGTGATATTCTCTCTCATCATTGATGTTTCAGTGATTCTCTCTCATCATTGATGTTTCTATTTCTCTCTCACTCTCCCTCTCTGAAATCAGTGAAAAAATATATTTAAAAAATAAAAAAGATGAGGGGGAGAATAAATTGGGAACAATATTTGTAAATTAAAAATATTTGTAAAATATTTATTTTATACAAAAGGCTAATAGCCTAATGTTTAGAGAGCTCTTACCAGAAGAAAAGAAAAATGGATAATGATCAGAGGCAAATTCTATCAGCTAGGCAAACTGTAACAAAATACCACACACTGGATGGCTTAACAGAAATTTATTTTCTCACCGTTCTGGAGGATGGAAGTCAAGGTGTTGACAGGTTTGGTGTCTTCTGAAGCTTCTCTTCTTGATTTTCAGAAAACTTCACTGTGTCCTCACATGCCCTTTGCAGTGTATACAGGCATTCCTGAGGTTTCTTCCTCTTCTTGTGAGACCACCAGTTCTATTAGATCAGAGCCCCTCCCGATTGACCTCATTTAACTTTAACTTCCTCTTAAAAGGCCCCTATCTCTAAATATAGTCATTTTGGAGGTCAGCACTTCAACATAACAATTTGAGAGGGAGGAGCACAATTCAGTCTATAATACAAACCAATGAAGCAGAAACACCAATTATAACATGGGGGGAAAAGTTTATCCTCTCCAGTAATTAAAGAATGCAGATTTAACTATAATAAAATATCCTTTTTTTCTGAATTATTATTTTGGCAAACAATAAAGATAGTTGGAGTGAATATATGAGTAGATGAAAGTAATTTTGAAAGAAGAATGGAATAGTTTGTGTTGATAGAACTATCCTATCCAATAAAGAGGAAATATGCTAATTGACCATTACTCCATCACAAAATATGGCTGCCCACAGCTGAAGCCAAGTTCCCATAAGGAGCCCTAACGAATAATTAGCAGGGACCCATGGGGCTTGGCAGGGGACCTCAGGCTGTATCCCCCACCCTGGCATCAGGCTGGAGGACCTCCGGCTGCATCTCCTGCATAGGTGCCAGGCCAGGGGACTTGAGGCCATGCCCCTTGCCCAGTGGGGCTTGATGGGGGACCTCAAGGTGCACTTCCTGTCCTGGTGCTGGGCTAGGGGAACTCAGGCTGCTTCCCCTACCCCAGGGCCAGACCAGGGGCCCTGAGGCTGCGCCCCCCTGCCTGGCTGGGCTTGACAGGGGACTTCAGGCCGTGCCCCCCACCCATTGAGGCTTGACAAGGGACAGCTGGGGGACCTGAGATTGCTCCCCCCCCCCCCACCTAGTGGGGTTTGATGGGGGACCTCAAGCCATGCCCTCTACGCAGTGGGGCTTAACGGGAGACCTCAAGGTATGCTCCTCATCCCGGTCTGGGTTGGGGGACCTCAGGCTGCCCCCCGTTCTGGTGCCAGGCCAGGGGACCTGAGGCTACCCCTCCTGCCTGGCAGGGCTTGATAAGGGTGGACTGGCCAAGTCTGGATCTAACCCAATTGCGGGGGGTGGGGGTGGAGTGCGGCTGGGTCTGGGTCTCACACAATTTTGAGGTGCATGTGGGTGGGCAGGGACTTGACTCTGGGTCCCGTGGTGCGCCCCAGACTCTGACAGGAGGAAGGTTTTCATATACATTTTACTAATTTCTTTCATCTCTGACACTTATAGAGAAAGGTCAAATAGCAATATTAAATTATTTCCTCTAATTAATCCCCTTTTAATGTGCATGAATTTTGTGTACCAGGCCACTAGTATAGCAGATAAAAGAGAAGGATAACTGAGAGAATGAATGTCCAGTTAACAGTGCCCTGGTTTTCTGTCAAAGTCAAGTCTGATCCTTTAGCAACCATTTTGAGTAAGATGACTCTATTTTATACAATTTGGACCCAAAATAGGAATCTGACTTAAGCTGGGCCGGTTAGAGGGGTTTTGGTTTTGTTTTTAGAATGGAAATCCATATTTATGCCAAATTTAAAAAATCCAATCTTTCTGATGTTGGATCATAGCATACATTTATATCTATAATAATGAAAGCGTAATATGCTAATTAGACCAGATATCCTAGTGGATGACCTTCTGGACAAAGCCTGGGCTGCGAGGGAAGCCCGGGTCCTGGGTGCCGGCAGCCAGGGGGAAGAAAGGCCTACTCTTGCACGAATTTCACGCATTGGGCCTCTAGTATACATCTAAAACTTGAGAGACAGCTTTGCCAGTTTGGCTTAGTGGGTGGAGCATTGGCCTGCAGACTAAAAGGTCCCAGGTTCAATTCCTGTCAAGGGCACATGCCTGGGTTGCGGGCTGGATTCCCAGTAGAGTGTGTTCAAAAGGCAGCCAATCAATGATCTCCTCTCATCATTCCTTCTCTCTTCCTCTCTGAAATAAATAAAAATATATTAAAAACAACAACCTTGAAAGATATAGATGTTTTCCACAAACCATTTCTAGAGGAGAAGCAGAAAATGAGAGAGAGAGAGAGAGAGAGAGAGAGAGAGAGAGGAAATGATACATTCAGAAAGAAATGGAGATAAGATACAGATGTAATTCCAATATGTTTGTGGAATTTCCCTAAGGCCTGCTTTCACTCCTGCCCTGTAGCTCTAAAAAATAGTCCTATCCTTATGGTAAAATCTCCCCCTGCCCTTTTTTGCATAAGTAGCTTGATTCAGTTTTAATTTTATCTTAAAATTAAGAATATTGACTGAAAATATTGGATGTTAGAGGAGGAGAATTCAAAGCTCTCCTGTATAGCTTTCAGCCTTAAGGAAGTTACAGAGTTCCCCATAAAGTGAATCAGTAGGTGCCCAGCTCAAAGCTTCAACCTTTGAAACAATTTTGCTCTCTGTAGTTATTCAAGACACCCTTAGTGATGCTATCATGCAGCTGCTTTCCATTTTCACCTGGAACCTGCTGATCCAGCCAACCTATTTATAAACCTATCCCATAAAAGCTCAGGCTTTTTCCTCCTCAATCTATTCCTACAAGAATGTCCACATAACCATTGGTGTGACCTGAGAATGGTGTTATAGTGCAACTTGGTAGGTGGCAAGGAAGTTTGGGTTACCTGGTCCTGCAGCTTGCTTATGCCCTCTATCTTGTTCACGCTTGGTGTCCCAGATGTATACTTTCATCTTTTGATGGATTTGCTCTGTCGACCTGTATGACTTGTAATTTCTGACAGGACCCAACTTATAATGGGTGATTCCAAATATCTCATAACATTTAAGGATGGAAATATGTTTATAAATACAATATTTAGACATTTATTAGTGACCTTCAAAGAACTGTTTCGCTGAGAACTGAATGACAGGGTTAAGGGATGAGGGCAGGACTAGAACAAGTAGGAAGAACAGTAAAGTATTTGTTACTGTTGTCTGAAGTGAGGTGCTGGTTGTTGTTTGAAAAAGTAATTAATTGGATTCTGGATTTCCAGAAATGAAAGGAGATAAGATCATACCTTATCTCGTAAACATCCCAGACACTGGAAATAGCTCTCCATCTTGTCTTTTCTCATTATTTCCAGGTTTGTTTTTTTACTTTCTTATAGGTTACAGATGTTTATCTTCTGAAACCTTAAATGATGCAGGTAGAACAGGAGAGTGGGCATAGTGTGTGTTGTGTCTATGTGGACTTTTGCCAGGTTTATTTGTTTGTTTCCCCAGGCTCCCTTACACAGAGTTCCAGAGTCTAATGATATTTTCACTAACTATCTAAAATTAAGAATTATCCCAGAGGAAAGTATTCTCAAATACATCTCTACTCTCTGAGGGAAAATAAATGTGAGATTGCCTCCCTACTATATCATCTTGTTGTTATGCTGGGC